ATATAGTTGCAAGTATTTTATTAATTGTAGGCACGTTAGGTGTATATACACATACAACTTAGATACTACAACTGGACTATGCTCGATCATAATATGTGTGCTGTTTTGTTATAATATTCGTTTTTATCATTATGATGCCAGGCCTATCCACAGGATAGGCATAGTCCTACGTCCGTTTATCAAATTTTTTCTTTATTTTATATAACTATCAATCACTAAGGAATGGGCATTAAGTAGTACCATACTTTATCACTATCAGTCATCAACATCTTCTCCTCGTGATACCAGGGTCATACCGAAAAACATAGAAATATAAAAACATCACCTAATTGTACCCAAAGCTGGCCACGTTCTCACCTCCCTCCCTCCCCCCTCCCCCCCCTCTTACCTTCTGCTTCGCCCCTTCCCCTTCACCCCCTTCTCCCCTTCTCCTACACTTCCTTCCCCTTTTTTCTTTTCTCTTTCACCTCCCTTCCCACTTTTCCCTTCTCTTTCATTCCACCTGTTTCCTTTCCCTTCTCCCTTTCCCCTCCTCTTCACCCCCACCCCTTCCCCTTCCTATACTCCTTCAGCCTCCCCTACCCCCGTTTTCTTCCATCAAAGACGCTCCCCACCCTCTTCCGGCGGAGGATACTACAATTTCCTTGACTCCTTAGCGCCCTGCCCATTGCGACTACTCCTCTCGAAAAACGGCGTTCCCTCTTCTACCCTCTAATACCCGTTATCGCATTCTCCGATTCACTACCGACCTCATAATTAACCAGATGCTTTATCTTTATCTCCAAAGTTGCCGCTCCACCACTATCCACCTTGCTCTAAGACCCCTTCCCCCTTACCTTTTCACGCTTCTCTTCTCCCTCAATCTACATCTCCTTTCCTTCTCCTCCACCCCTCCCCCCTCCCTTCGTCCTCCATCTCCTGCTCACTCCTTTCCCTTCACCCCCCCTCAGGCTCCCCACGCACAGTCCCCTTCCCCTTTCGCCTCCATCTCCCTCCCTCCTTTCCCTTCCACATTACACCCTCCTCCCCGACTCTACGTTATGCCCGTGACAGGTGTTTCTCCAGCTGCCATACCAGAGCCTCATGTCCGACGCGCGCATGGCCTGTAATCCGAGTATGAGGTCATTTCCCGTTGTTGTGTGTCTGTCCGTTCTTTTAGGGTTTTCATTTTCTTTGTTTTGTTTTTTTTTCTTTCTCGGTTTGTTCTTTTAGGGCTATTTATTTTCTTTGTTTTTTCTCTCTGTTTGTTCTTTTAGTTTACTTGATTTTCATTCTTTGTTTTTTTTATCTGTCCGTTCTTTTAGGTTTTTAATTTTCTTTGTTTGTTTTTTTCCTCTGTCCGTTCTTTTAGTTTTTTTTTTAATTTCTTTTGTTTTTTCCTCTATCCGTTCTTTTAGGGGTTTCTTTATTATTTTTTTTCCTCTGTCCCGTTCTTTTAGTTTTAAATCGTTTTTCTCTTGTTTTTTCCCTCTATCCGACTTTAGGTTTATTCTTTTTTTGTTTCTTTTTTTTTACCTCTGTCCATTCTTTTAGGTTTCATTTTCTTCGTTTTTATCCCTCTGTCGTTCTTTTAGTTTTTTTTTTACTTTCCTTGCTTCTGTCACTATTTTCTTTCTTTTAGGTTTTTCATTTCTCTTGTATTTACTTCTCTGTCCTTTCTTTTAGGGTATTTTTTTCCTTGTCTTTATCTCTCTGTCGGTTCTTTTAGTTTCATTTTTTTAAATCTTTATTTTTATCCTTTTGTATTGTTGTTGTTCTTTGTCTTTACTTCTCTGTCTGTTTTTTTCTTTTCTTTTTTTGTCTTTGTCTTTTTCTCTATGACCGTTCTTTTATGTTTTTTATTTCCCTTATCTTTAACCCTCTGTTCATTCTTTTAGTTTTTGTTTTATTATCTTATCTTTATCGTTCTGTTCGTCCTTTAAGGGTTTTTCAAGTTTCCTTTACTTTGTTTCATTTCGTTCCTTTATTGTTTTTTTTTTTATTTCCCTTTTCTTTATGTCTCTGTTCGTTCTTTAGTTTTTCATTTCCTTTTTGTCTTCATCTCTTTGTTTGTTCTTTTAGTTTTTTTTTCCTTGTCTCTCCCTGTCTGATATGTCTTGAATTTTAGATTTTAAGATTTAGATTTTAATTTGTTATCTTCCCCATTTCATTATATATATTTATTTATTTATATAAATATTTTTTACTTATTTCAGTCTTTCTGGTCTGATTTTATTTTTTTCTATTCCTTTTTTATTTCTTTATCTGTTTTTGTTTTTCCTTTCCTTTTATGACTCTGTTTTCTTTTTCTCACTTTTAGTTGTTGTTTTTTTTATTCCTTCTATTTTTATTCCTTTTTTTCTATTTTTATTCTATTTTTATTTAATTTTATTTTTTATTTATTTTTTTTCTATTTTTTATTCTATTTTTATTTCCTTTTAATGTCTTCTTTCCATTCTTCTTTTATCTCATTCTCTGTAGTCTTTCTATTCTATACTTTTGTTCTGCTTGCTTCTCTCTCTCTCTCTCTATTTGTTTATTTACCATTTCTATTTTTTCTTCTTATTTTTCTCGGTGTTTCTTTGTCTTTTACATTCGTTCTCTGTGTGTTTTGTTCGTTCTTTTAGATTTTGTTACATCTGTTTATTTATGTCTTTTCTTTATTGTTATTATCATCTTTATTCCACTTTATCTCTATCTTCATTCTGTCTTCAAGATTTTGTTATTTCTGTTAATCTCTCAATCTCTCTATTTCTTTTCTTTTAAAGCCATTTCTTTTATGTAATTTCTTTTAGATTTTTATGTTTTCCTTATTAGTCTCTTCTCTCTTTATCCTTTAGTCTCTTCTTCTAGTGTTTCTTTCTTCACTGTTCTATTTCTGTCGCGAAACATTGTTTTATTGTTTTTTTTTCGCTCTCAATCTTTCTCTTCGTTCTCACTTCATTGTGTTGCCTATCCTTTTATTCCGTGTTTTCATTTTCTTTCTACGTTTTTGTTTGTCATTCCCTATTCATCCTTCCCTTTCTTTTAGCTTCCCATATTATTCTTTATCCGTCTTCTTATTTAGTTTACTGTCTTTATTCATGTTTAAATTTTCGCTCTCATTTCTTCTCTTTTTTTTTCTCTTTCTGTCTGTGTTTTGCGCAATTGTGTATGTACGCATACCAATATATATGTATGTATATATATATATTATAATATATATATATATATATATATATTAATATATATATATATATATATATATATGTGTTGTGTGTCGTGTGTGTGTGTGTGTGTGTGTGTGTGTGTGTGTGTGTGTGTGTGTGTGTGTGTGTGTGTGTGTGTGTGTGTGTATTTATGTATATATATGTGCATTTGTGTGTGTGCGTGTATGTGTGTGTGTGTGGTGTTGTGTGTGTGTGTGTGTGTGGTATGTGTTTTTATTTATTTATTTATTTATTTTTTTTTGTGTGTGTGTGTTTGTTTATGTGTGTGCATGCATGCATGTACACATAGACTATAATGAAAGCGAATGTTTTTTCTTAGGATATACAGTATTATGACCCAAATAACCTTGGAATCTATTATTAACCGCCATGATTTTATCAAAGACTTTCCGAACCGTGGGAGAATCTCTGACGTCACAGATTTCTCTCCCTGACAATGAACGAATAGACGAAATTGTTTCTCGTGAATCAGTGAATGAATTTTATTGTTGTTGCTTTAAATAGATTCTGCAATGTTCGACTTGGACATTTAGTTGCTACGTTGTCCCGTTCGTGAGGTTGTTTGTTGTGTATCGTGGTACAACTTCCGCGAAACTGCACAGTAACATCAGTAACCGTGGGATTAATGGTGACACAGTAACCATCTTTCTCATCTATCCTATCGTCTATCTAATATCTATCTCTGCCCTGCTCTCTCTCTCTTCTTTACTCTCCTTCCTCGTCCCTCTCTCTCTCTCTCTCTCTCTCTCTCTCTCTCTCTCCTCCTCCCTCTCAACTTCTCATCTCTCTCTCTCTCTCATATTCCCTCTCTCTCTCTCCCTCTCTCCGTCTCTGGTTAAACTTTCCAAACTATCAGTAAGTCAGGAACCGTGGATTAAATGGTGTCACAGTGATATATTCTACCTATCTATCACATATCTCTGCCTGCCTCTCTCTCTCTTCATTTCTCCTAAGCTCCCCACACTTCCTCCGCACCTCATCACGTTACCACACTCTCTCTCCTCTCCCCTCTCATTCCATAATACTCACTCTCTCTTCCTATAAGACTCTCCTTCTCTCACTCGTCTCATCTCCACTCGATCTCATCTACACCTACATTCTATTCTCTCGTTCCTCTCTCTCTCGATATTATCTCTCTCTCTTCTCTCTCTCGTCTCTGGTTACATAACTTCCCGAAACTCACAGTAAACTAGAACCGTAGGCGATTAAATGGGTCAACACTCGACCATATCTTCTCTACCTATCTATTATCTATCTATTTCTGACCTCTGCTCTCCTCTCGGCTTCTCTCTCTCTCTCTATTCTCTCATCTAATTATATTATATGACTCTCGATCTCACTCTCTCTCTCCTGTCCCCATTCCTCCCTCATTCCCATCTACTCTTCGTCGCTGTCTTCTCCATGTTCCTAGATCCCTCCCCCCTCATCTTCACTTCCATCTCTCTCTCTCAATTCTCTCCCTCCTTCTGTCTATACAAATACATCCTATCAATCACTCCCTCTCCATCATCGACGATTTTCCTTCCTAAAACTCACTCTCTCAATGACCATGCACACGTTCACAACTGAGTCGTGCACACTCGATCACTAGAATTCCCATTATCACTCCAAAGTCCATCTCTCTCTCTCTCTCTCTCTCCTTCTCCTACATACTTCTCTCATCATCTCTCTCGAAAGTGCTTCACGAGTCCTAACCGCGCGCTGCAGCGACGCGTAGCCGCGCGGCCCGACTGTTCCAGCAGCCCCTTGCGTCTCAGGACCTTGAATGCTCCGACATAACGCGAGTCCCTTGCGCCCGCGGTGTCCTCCTAG